AGTGAACTTCAGATAAAGCAAGGCTTTGGACTCAAGGTTTTCTCTCCTGAGCTTTCCGTTGAGTCCTTGAAGAGGAAGCCAAAGGTGCAGAAGCTAACGATTTAATATTTGGTCTCACACAAAATGGAATAAATACAACCAAACTCTAATTTAAAAAAAGAAAAAAGAAAAAGGTTTTGCGTGTACACTCAGTGATATAAGCCTAAATAGCCGAAACAGAATAATCACCGATACAAGGGTAGTTCTGCCCGACATTCAAACTCCATAGGACTGCCACTCCATTTGGAGCAGGAGTTCTTCAGCTTTTTGTGTGTCCCACCCAACTTTGGCGTAATCTAGTGAAGCGGACAGACCCTTCTCAGAATTGTGTGTGCTGCCTACATTCACAACTGAAGGAAAAGTTACGTTGCAGTTGGCGAAAAGAAAGATATGATTCTTTTTCTCATACAAAGTCATAGATGCTCTGAAATCTATCGTGGAGTCCTTGGGTTTGTGGATTCCAGGGTAAGAACTGCTGACAAATATTGGGCAAATATCCCAATAAAATGTTTTGTGTTTGCTTTTTTTTTTTTAAACAGTCATTAACATGTTTTCAAATGTCAGCTGTTTGGTGCTGAATACGAAAAGCATTCAGATACATGAATACATTTATCTGTTTTCATCAGACTGTTCAACACGTTCTTGCAATATAAATAGTTCTACCATGCTACTATTCTTAATTAAAAAAAAAAGTCAGTTGCTGAGGGAAGAAATAGAATCTGATGGAAAAAAAAAGATTCATAAAGTTAATGTACTAATTTTTTATTGGGCTTGAAAGGGGATGCTTAAAGGTGAAATAAGACTCTTCATTGGGGCAGACAGTTTCAAGAGCTAGCAGGTGAATCTATAGCCATGGCCATATTTAAGAAATACTCCCTCACTACCTTTGTAGGAAATTCTCTCCTCTAACTGGTTTCTTGTTTAATTATACCATTTATCTTCCATAGTTACGTCACTATAAGAATAAATCCATTCAAATAAATCAAAGGGAAACACAGCCCCACTAGAGGGCTAGATAAATGAAAATTTTAAACCATGAAGATAAAAAATCTCAAAGTACGAAAGAAGAAAGAATGCAAAGGGTAACATCCTACCCAGCTCTCCCTAGGATAGCAGACCAAAGATGAGCCTAATGCACCTTTTCAGGGGGTAAGAAGCTACCTTCTCTATTAGCAAGTGCACAAAACAAAAACTTAGGCCCTCAGTGACTTCTCAGCCAAGTTCTGAATCAAGAAAAAGGAACAGCCGTGTTCCAAAGAATATATCCTCACAGACAAGTGTAAAATTGGCCAGGAACTAGAAACCGTGTTTTCCAGCCCATCAAGTACTCTAGCCCCTGGAAGCAAAAGGCCAGAGAGACTCCTCAGCTTTGCCCAGGGTGTGAGGCCAGTATCCACAGCATGGGTGTCCTGTCTCTGAGTCCATCCCTCTGTGCCCAATTGTGTCAGCTCTCCAAAATAAAATCTGGAGTGGAAATGATCAGGGGAAAGGAAATAAGGATCATCTAGCCCCACTTCCTCATTTTAAAGATCAATGAAGTGAGGCACTGGGAGATTTAATAATCTAGAATCAAACTCAGGTGCTCTGACACCTAATCCAGGCATCTTACTGCAACATCTTAATTTGTATTTGAGAAAACCAAGTCTCTGAAAAATTAAATGGCAGCTAGTAAGTGTCAGAGATAGGCTTCAAATCCAATGGTCTCTCTACCATGATATACTGATTATGTGTCAAGAATCATAATAATCAAGAGAAATGCAAATTAAAACAACTCTGAGTTACTACCTCATATCCATCAGATTGTCTAATATGAAAGAAAAGGAAAATGATAAACGCTGGAGGAGATGTGGAAAAATTGGGACACTAATGCACTGCTGACAGAGTTGTGAACTGATCCAACCATTCTGGAGAGCAATTTGGAACTATGCCCAAAGGGCTATAAAACTGCTCTTATCCTTTGAAACAGCATTATCACTACTAGGTTTGCATCCCAAAGAGATAAAAAAAAAAAAGGGAAAAGAACCTATTTGTACAAAAATGCAAAAATATTTATAGCAGCTCTTTTTGTGGGGACAAAGAATGGATGGGAGGCCTCTCATTTGGGGAATGATGGAACAAACTGTGGTGCATGACTGTAATAGAATACTACTGTACAGAAATGACAACCAGGATGCTTTCATTAGTGGAAAGACCTACATCAACTGATGCAGAGAGAAATGAGTAGAACCCTATAGGAGAACATTGTGCGCAGTAGCAGTAATTTTGTATGATGGTTAGCTGTAAATGACTTAGCAATACAACGATCCAAAATAATTCCAAAGTACTTATGATGAAAAATGCTATTCACCCCTAGAGAAAGAACTGATGGAGTGTGAATACAGATTGAGGCATACTTTTTAAATTTCTTAATTTTCTTGTTTGGGTTTTTTTTGGTCTGTGTTTTCTTTTGCAATACGGCTAATATGGAAATATGTTCTGCATGACTTCATGTGTATAATCTAAAATCTAAAAAGAAGCTTTTTTACACGTATTTGAGAAAAATTTAAAAGTGAGTTAAAAAAATAAATCATAATAATCAGAGACGAAGAAGATCTGCTGTGTTTCAAGAAGTGGATATCAGCATATAATAGGTTAGATACTAATGTAATGTATAAGGGACTGGAGACATAAAAAAGCTATCTCAAAGTAATGTCCATTTTTGGTCACACTCTCCCATTTGAGATAATTCTATTTTTCAATGCAACAATCAAAAATAAGTAAATTTTAAAAAAATATATTACACACTATGAAAAAAATCATCTATTTTGTTGCTTTACAAAAGGTTGAAAAAATCAGTATTATCATCAGTGTTGCCATCTCATTTCACTGACTTGCAAAAATCCACTTGCCAGAGCTAAGGAACAGGGAAAGACAAATTCTTTTCAGGAGGAAATACAAGTTGTACTCAAGATGGTCATAAGAAGGGCTCCTTTTAGTGATTCTGGTTGTCTGGCAGTGAGAGAAGCTTGTGAATAGGTGGAAAAAACCACCTTCCACAGGATAATGCAGGAAAGGGAGCTCTTGGCACCCTGAATTCTACAGTTCAGAGACTTATTTTAGAATAAGCAGAGATCACTACCTTCCCAAGAATCAGACTACATTTTCCTGGCTCTTCTACTTACTGTCAGCAAGACCTGGAGCACAGGGGTTACTCTGTGTGTGTGTGTGTGTGTGTGTGTGTGTTTTAACCTCCTCCCCATAAGAGAAAGAAAAGTCACACAAAAAACATTTCAGGAAGAATTCCATAGGTCACATGATCATAGATATAGTGCTGGAAGGACCTCAGAGATCATGTTGTCCAGCCTTCTCATCATGAGGAGAAGGAAAGTGAGGGCCAGAGAGAAGTGAGGCACCCAAGATCACACCGGTGTCAAGCGATGGAACAGATGCTTGGACTCCCAATTCACTGTCCTTTCCACAGGAAGAGGCCAACACCTCTCCTAACCTATATGTGGACTCAAAACATTTAACCCACGACTATAACAGTTGACACTTATCACCACTAAATTTTAACTAATTGGATTTGGACTAATGCTATAGCTGGTTGAGATCTTTTTAGCCCTTCTCTGTCATCTGACACACTACCTGTCTCTCCCAGCTTTGTGGCATCTACAGACTACCAAATAAGTGTGACATTCACACCACCAGCCAAGTCAATGATAAAAAAAAAGGTTAACAGCACAGACTCCTGGGATGCCCTACTAGGTACGCCCCTCCAAAGTGACAGTAACTCAGGGCCAACTAATCTGCGCCTGGTCATTTAACCAATTCTCAACCCACTCCATTCTCCTCCCATTTGGCCTGCGTCTCTACCTCTTCTCCACAAAAATAACAGAAGAGACATCATCAGATTCTTCACTGAAATCTAGGTAAGCTGTAAGCACAGCATTCCCCTGATCTATTACAACAGTAACTCTCTCAAAAAAAGGATACATGGTTAGACCTTTTCTCGACATCCCCTTGAACTCTTTTTCCTTTTTTGAAATTGGGGACATTTGACCTTTTGTAGTCCTGAGGCATTGTCCCGCTCTCTCTGCCTGTTCCCATATTGGGAGGGCCATCTTGGTCATCATTTCAGGCAGGGCCCTCAGCACTCTGGGAGACAGTCCACTTGGGCCTGGTGATTTGAATACACCAAGGGAAGTACCAAGCTGCTCTCTTTCTGTCTCCTTACATCTCCTGAGTCCAATTCCACGTGGACCCTCTCCTGTCCAGTCCAAATACCATTCTTTCAGGCAGATAAAAGAGAGGCCAAGGAAGAATCGGGAAACTCCATTTATTCTGCTTCGGTATTCATCGCCCCCCGTCCCCTGAGCAGCAGTCCCAGCATCTCTTGGATCCCTCTCTTTTTCCAAGTATAACTCAGATAAAGAAAACTTTCTGGTTACTTTTGACTTTCCCTGTCAGCTTTACCTTCTAAAACCCACAGAGCACAAGGCCTGCAAAAGGTAGGGAAGCCCTGATCTAGTTCAACCTTCTCATTTTACGGTGGAAGAAAGTGAGGACCAGAAAGGAGAAAGGACTCACTCAACATTACATGTGAAAGAACTGGAATTCAAACACTGGGTCTTTAATTCAAAATCCAGTGTTTGTCCCATTGTACCCCAATACTACTATTCGGTATTTTCTTTCTATTGCAAGGATAGCAAAATACTGAGTAGGGAAAAGATTTTATCAACATCCCAAGCTATCCCAGTGGCAGCTTGGCTGACCAAATACTACAGAGGGAACTCTCATATGGCATAGAAAGCTGAAATACAAGTTTCTCTTCTGAATCTAAGATTATTGGAATTTCAAAACTCCAAACTCCTCCCCACTGACCCCCCCTCCCCCTAGTCTAAGTAGTATCAGAAAAATTCCATTTTTTCATTAGCTTTTGAAAGAATGTCAAGTTTTATCTCTCCCAGCTGACATCTTTGTACCTTGTTTCCTTCATTCATCCACCCTAAGCTTTTTACACCAAAGGCGGCCTCCTTAGAAGACACATCCAGACATGTGACAGGCTGGCCATACACAGAATGAAGAACTCGGCTGGGGTTCTCCGCTTTCAGGAGGTATACAACATCTTCAGCAGCTGCAACTGCAACAGGATGCCCTCCAGCATCTGGAATCAGATGAAGAAAGCTGACCTATTAAAAGAAAAGTTTTGAAAATCTTTAATTGGCTAAAACGGCTCTTAACATCAGAATTTAAAAGTTCGACCAGGTCCACATTGACAAAAAAACCCAAGATTTTAGCATAAAGCCAAACCCCAAACTTAGTCATCAAAAGCTTCCCAACCATCTCTTTGGGTCTTCATATGTCATATGCGGTACCTTGATTCTTACAAAGATTTTATCTTCAGAAAACAGAAGATAAATAAATAATCTACATATTCATATCACCGCTGTGCTCATGTCATGTACGTAGATGAAAAATGAGAAGTCAAAATTGAGTGATATGTCCAACATCCCAAAGCAGCACCTCACTGACAGATAAAGCTAGATAAGATCTAGACAAGATCTTAAACTTTTACAATTCTATATCCCTCGCTATAACCCTTAAATTATATGAATACATGAGTAGTACTAAGGTGAAGAGGCTGTTTTCCTCTTGCATAGGTAGGAGTTACCTGCATGCTTCTATTTTTGATCCTACATGACTAGCAGATAATTACTTCTACATTTTTTCCTAGGGTAAAGCTTTCACTATATAGAATGGCTGTATTTTAAAAAATTGCAGCTATAAACCACTCTGTGTTCTTACAAGAATAAACAGTATAAATGGCACTTCTATGACAATAGGCCAAGAGGTGAAAAAGCCTGAATTCCAAAGGCCATCCAAGAAAGCCTGTAAGATAGCCTTGTTGACCCTCAATCCCCACAGTGTGAACGGCGCCCTAACATCTCACGTTATGGGATTAGCTTAAAGGATGTGCTTTCTGGGCTAACATTACAAACACTGAAATGTTGTCAAGCCTGTCCGGAAAAAACAAAATGGCACACGATGATGCAGGAGGCCTGCAGGAAGTACAGTATTTGCTGACAACTTCCCCCTCCTCCCCATCTTGGAACAGAGATCAAATATACTTTAAAACCTGTCTTCTAATACAGTTGCTTGGTTTCGTTTTCCTCGTTAGAATCTTTCCTTCTTCCTTCTGCTAAACTACAGCTTCCATGACAGAATCAAGACAGATAACTGCTTGGCTCTCTGCTGGTAATTCAAATTTTGTTGAAATCTTAAGGTGTGTCCAAATTATCAGTGAGCTGGTTGTGATATTTATGGGTAGCTTGTTTTAAAAAATATTTTAATAACTGTATTTCACTAGAATTCATTCCCTTTGTAATTCTACCCATTTTATTTTCTGCACTTACAACTCCTTCAGATAGCACAAGAATATATATGCATTGAAGAGTTTCATCTCTTAGCAGCCTGTAGTGACTGCGTATTTCCATGACAAGTCTTAGTGTTTTTTCCCCAAAGACCAAGGACATATCTTTTGGTAGCTACAAACGTTTAACTAGACCTCCATTTTCATCCTGAAACCAACCAAGGTGGATCTCTAAAACCTTTGAGAACACTACCTTCTTAAGCAATTACTATGAGTACCAGGTTTGATCATGAAAGGGTAAGAAATATCTATGTGTGTGTGATCCAGTCATCGGGACCTAAAGACACACAACCCTAACAAGATCTGTGCCAGGAGGGAAGGAGATGGGAATCAGGGCTTATTTCAATCCTGGCCAATGAATCGTTGTTGATTTTTTTTTCTGCTCACTCAGATTGTTTCTATTAAATCCAAATTCATCAGAAGGGGTTTCAAATCATGTCCAACTCTTCCTCCATGCCTCCAAATACTCTTCAACCATAATAATGTAAAGGTTCTTTTAAAAAGAAGAAAAACCAGATTCTAAACCAGTCTGAAATAAGCCACAATCTCAAGAAAATACAGCTTCAGATGTGGCATCCTGTAGCAACCAATTAACCAATTAACACTGACTTAAATCTGTGTTCACTCAAGAGTTACTCCTCATTCCACGTGAGAAAATCTTGGGATGAAGAAAGCCAATTTTCAGTCTAATTTTGACCAAAAAATTTTAATTAAAGAGTGGGAGGGAAATCTCCCTCACCATATGGACTTGAATGACACTATAACACTCATTTTCACTTGAGTTTGGGGCCAGAAACTGATCTCAGATTTCTAGGGGTGAGGGACTAGTCCATCAAGGCACAGACAGCATCTAGGCCTTCAATGGCTACGATTACTCCCAGTCTGCTCAACATTTTTCTTCTGTCTAGAAGGTCTCTTCTAGGGCCAATTCTACTTCCCAATTATATAGGCAGAAGAGAAAGTAAATGAACTAGAAACTCACCATCTTCTGAACTTCAAAATGAGCCGCTGTTTCCCAATATCCCTTCTCACTGGGGCATTCCATTCTGACCTCAAAGCCAGATGCTGTAGCAATTGTGGCCCCCTCTAGGCTGAGTGCCAATGCCTGTATTCTTAGGTTATGTTGATAGCAATGGACAGGATCACGACCAATCATCAGACTCCAAACATTAACAGTCCCTGATCAGAAAGAGACAATACAAACAATGCAATCAAGAGCATTAAATTATTCAAAAGATCTTTTTTTTTGTAGTAACAAAGAACTAAAAAATAAAGTAGTTCCCCATTGATGGAAAATAGCTAAACAAGTTGTGGTACAGCACCCAATAGATCCATAAGCATTTATTAAGCACCTACTAAGTGTCTGGCGCTGTGCTAAGTGTATGAATGAAATGGGATATTTCTACAGTGTAAGAAGCAATGACTATTAAACAATTCAGAGATTCATGAGAAGACCTATGTGAACTGATACAAAGTGAAATAAGTTAAACCAAGAAAACAACCCACACAATGACTTTCACAATGTAAAGAGAAGGATAACATGAGTATCAACAACATGAAAAATGATCCTGTGTAATTATAAAGTACAGACGACAAAACACACCTGCCTTTTCTTTGTGGGGGTAACAGGAGCAAAGGTGTAGAACAATGCCTATTCCACTAGACTTGACTGATATGTTGACTGGTTACTGAACTGTTTTTCCCACCCTCTTCTTTTGTTCTTTGCTATATGGTATGGTTCTCTGGGTGGGAGAAGGGGATATATTTGGAAATAATCAAAACAAAGGATACCAATAAAAAAAAATTGAGTGGCAGAGATAGTCAAAACAGGGAGTTCACATTGGGTTGATTTCTGTTTAACTGAAATATAAGGAACTCTAAAATTTCCCAAAGAGTATAGAGAAAACTGAAGGAGGCAGGAAGGGCAATGGCAAGGCACACTCTTCACTAGCCCTGTTTTGTGTTTTTTTAGGGGGGAGGCTAGGCAATGGGGTTAAGTGACTTGCCCAGAGTCACACAGCTAGTAAGTGTTATGTGTCTGACGCCGGATTTGAACTCAGGTCCTCCTGACTCCAGGGCCAGGGCTCTATCCACTGGGCCACCTAGCTGCCCCATCCTCTAGCTCTTTTACAGCAGGTTCCTCTTTCCTGTTCTCTTGAAAGCCCAGAAGGATCTCCTTCTATAAACTCTGACCAGGGTTCCAAGCTTTTTTAAGTTTTGTACTAGCTCTCATACTTGTCAATCTGAAGTTCAGACGTCATTCCTCTTCTACCTCTCAGATCTACTTTGGTAGACTGGTGAAGCCTACGGACCCCTTCTCAGAATCAGGCATAACAAGCATGTGTAAATGCAGAAAATACAATGGATAGGATGACAAAGGAAACAAATTATAGTGAAATACAGTTATCAATTTTTTTTTATCAAAATATTTTTAAAACAAGTTCATGAATCCCAGGTTAAGAACCTGTGTTCTAGAAGTATTGAAGGAAGTGAAGAATAAAGAATCCTCCTCTTTCTTAAGCCTAGCCTGGTGCCACTTTCTCCCTGAAGCTTACTCCGATTTCCTCAGCTGAAAGTCATCTTCTCTTTGATCTCAACCCTACTACTGCATATCACACAAGTATGTTTTATACATTCTACTCCCACAAGACTGCAATTCAATTCAATAAGCATTCAAGAGCTATTCCCATAAGGCTTTTCCTGATTCCCAGTTGCTAGTGCCTCTCCCCCGCCCCAAATACTCTGTATTTATTTTGTAGATATTTCTGTATGTATGGGTCACCTCCCTTGTATAGATTACCTCCTCCAATGTACGCTCTCTGAAAGAACTTCTCCATTTTGCCTTGGTATCTCTGGTATCTACCATAGTACCTAATACTGAGTAAGTATTAAATAAAAGCCTACTGACTGTTACTAATTACCTGCTATGGGCCAGGTCCTTGCTAGAGGTTGGGGGCAGCGGGGGGAAGAAACAAGTCTTGCTCTCAAGGACCTTACGCTCTTTTTTTCCCCACTTAATAGTATTTTATTTTTTCCAATTACACGTAAAGATGGTTTTCAACACTGAGTTCCAAATGTTTTTTCTCCCTCCCTGCCCTGAGACAGCAAGCAATATGATATAGGCTATACATGCACAATCATATTTCTGCCTTGGTCATGTTGTGAAAGAAGAATCAGAACAAAAGGGGAAAAGCACAAAAAAGAAAAAACAACAACAAAAAAAGAGAAAATAGTATGCTTCGATCTGCATTCAGACTCCATAGTTCTTTCTCTGCATATGGATAGCATTTTCCATCTTGAGGGTTTTGGAATTGTCTCAGGTTATTGTATTGCTGTGAAGAGCTAAATCTATCAAAGTTGATCATTGCACAATGTTCTCCTGGTTCTGTTCACTTCATTTTGTATCAGTTCATGTAAGTTTTTCCAGGTTTTTTCTGAAATCTGCCTACTCATCATTTCTTATAGCACAATGGTATTCCATTACATTCGTATGCCACAACTTGTTCAGCCATTCCCCAACTGATGAGCATCCTCTCAATTTCCAATTCTTTGCCACCACAAAAAGAGCTGCTATAAATATTTTTGTACATGTGGATCCTTTTCCATTTTTTATGATCTCTTTAGGATACCGACCTAGTAGCGGTATTGCTGGATCAAAGAGTACATGCAGTTTTATAGCCCTTTGGGCATAGTAAGGGCCTTACATTCTACTGATTGGAAACTCCTGCTGGGAAAGACCTCTATAGTTTCCCATCTTGGTCTCTCCAGCACTAGCACAGTGCTTGTAAACGACAGACAATTAGTAAACATGCTCAATTTGTTTAGTTCCTATATACTTTGTACTCATTCAAAATTCCACTGCCAAAAATGTATCCTGATTCAACAAAGCATGGCATGGACAAGATATCCCAAAGTATAAAAAACAGGACCCTCTCCAAACACCCTCACTTCTAGTTCCAGTTCAATTTGTCCCCCAAAATCCATTAAGAGAAAATTACATGGCCCAGAATTTTGTGAATCTGTGTAGGATTTGTCTTCTGTAAGTTTTACATGGTGATTAGTTAAATATGAACACTCACTAAGTCAATCACTATTGCCAATTTCTCGTGCCTCTTTTTTTCATTCATAAATTTATGTCAATTTTCCTGCTACTTCTTTTTTTTTTTTGGTTAGGCAACAGGGTTAAGTGACTTGCCCAAGGTCACACAGCTAGTAAGTATCAAGTGTCTGAGGCTGCATTTGAACTCAGATCCTCCTGACTCCAAGGCCGGAGCTCTATCCACTGCGCCACCTAGCTGCCCCTTCCTGCTACTTCTTATCCCTAGAACAACAGATGTGGCTTTACATCTTTCTTCCCTTGGAAGTCCATTCTCAGTCTTTTGTTCTCTGTTCCATATACTCTGTTTCTTTCAACCCGTGGCCTCGAGGTGACAGGTTCGCCACCCTTGATGCAGGTCAATGTACAGTGGGTACTTGAGAAATGTTTGTTGACTGGTCTCTCTCACATAGATGGCATTGCTGAGAATATATCTCATTGGCCACCACGGCCCCTGGGGGTAATTTATCATATTTTGGCCACAACAACCAATCAAACAGGCAGAAATCAAAATGATTTCCAGCGCAGTGTCTACTACTTACATAAAAGTGGAAGCATATCCTAGCAAACAATTATAATTCCATAAATATTCGATTGATGCACATTACCGAAATTACTCAATTTTTCAACTGCAAATTATTTACTCTTTATTTTTTCTGCCCCAGTAGAATGCCACCTACTTAAAGACAAAGATTATTTTAGTGTGGCTTTTTTTTTACTGTACCCCCAGCACCAGCACAGTGCCAAGACTATAGTAGGTGCCTAATAAATGCTTGTTGAATTGAATTGATTTCATATGCATATTGGCAAAGCGTGCAGTACAGAGACTGATGGGCCTGAAGTTAGAATACTGGGTTGGAAGCCAAGTTCTGCTAGGGATCAGCTGTGTGAACATGGGCAAATGACTTCATCCCTGTGGACCTAGCCTTCCAATGATGGATTTGGACTAGATGACTTCTGAGGTCTTTTCTACCTTCAAAAATCCCACAACAAATGTTTTCTGTAACATCAAGGAAGCCTGCAACATCAGTCATTTTTTCAGTCATTTCCGAGTTCGGTGACCCTATTCGGGGTTTTCTTGGCAAAGATATTGGAGTGGTTTGCTATTTCCTTCTCCAGATGAGGGAACTGAGGCCAGATTTGAACTCAGGAAAGTAAGTCTTCCTGACTTCAGAACAGCATTCTATCTATCCACTGCTCCACCTAGCTGATGTTATAACATCCACTCATTTCCAAAGAATTCTAGGCTAAACTTTAATAAAGTTGTCAAGCTGAGAAGAGGTAATCTCTAGAACTGGGGGTGGGAGGTAGACAATGAAAGGCCTCTTGAGAAGGTGGGACCTGAGCTGAGTTTTTTTTTGTTTTTGCCTTTTGGTGAGGCAATTGGGGTTAAGTGACTTGCCCAGCATCACACAGCTAGTAAGTGTCAAGTGTCTGAGGCCGGATTTGAACTCAGGTCCTCCTCACCCTAAGGGTAGAGCTTTATCCATTGTGCCACCTAGCTGCCCCCTGAGCTGAGTTTTAAAAGTTTTAAAAGAAGTCAGGGAAGCCAGGAGGTAGAAGTGAGAAAGGAGAGCATTTCAGGTAGTGGGGACAGCCAGTGAAAAGGCCCAGAGTCTGGAGATGAAGGTGTCCTGTGAGAAGAAGAGCAAAGCTCAGTGTTACTGGATCATAGTCTGTGGAGGCAAGGAAAGCATAAGGACAGGAAGGTGTGTAAAGGGCTTCAAAAACTGGAGAGGAGACTTTCTATTGGTTCCTGGAGACAATGGGGAACCAGTGGAGCTTACTGAGTCGGGCAGTGGGTGCCACTGTCAGGCCTATGCTTGAGGAAGACCCCTTCGGCAGCTGAGTGGAGGGTGTTTTAGAAAGGGGACAGGCTCCAGGCAGGGAAACTGACCAAGGGTCCAGTCAGTCCAGAGGTGCATGGGGGTGGGGAGGGAACATGGGGGGGCCACATAAAAGAGAGGTTGTGAAGGCAGAAACAGCAAAACAACAGACTGAATCTGTGGGTGAGTGGGAATAAGGATCTGAGAATGATACTGAGGTTACTAGCCCCAGAGACTGGGAGGTGGGAGGAAAATTG